GTTCCTTGAGGCGTTGCCGACCAGAGGTTGTTGCTGTCAAACAGTTTACGTTTAACTCGCATGACTGGATAACTTAAGTCTGTTCTAATAGTTTGTTGCAATCAGATTGAGCATTTTGTTTCTTTGTAGACAGATGGTCTGATGAAAGGTCGTCTAACGTGACCTGTAATGGGATGTCCTGAGATATTTTTGTAGAGGTAGTGAGCACTATGATATGATTAAATCGGATTGGATAGACAGTATGATAATGTGAACTCCAGTACAGCCTGATTTTTGCAACAGGTCATGAATATTACTTTTTGATAGTTGAGACAGAATTGATTACCCGGTATAAATAGATACATTGGTGGGCATATCATTTATCTTATCATCAGGAAAGGGGCGGTTGGGTAGCTTAGTGGTTAAAGCGTTGGCTCATCACGCCGAAGATCCGGGTTCAATTCCCGACATGGGTACAATGTGTGAAGCCCATTTCTGGTGTCCCCCGCCGTGATATTGCTGGAATATTGCTAAAAGCGGCGTAAAACCATACTTACTCACTCGGGTAAATCTAGACACACATTATTCAATATGGCTGAGTGGGTTAGATCGCCGACTTTGTGTGCTGGCGATTAGGGGCCTCAAACTGGCAGTGTGGGTTCAACCACAAAAAGTACGAGAATCTGTACTTAACTAAGAAAGTCTTATCCCAAATATAACAATCTGTTACATTTGACCACTTTCAAAATGACATTGTGTATTCATAGCTTTCAGCCATGGCAGCTGTGCCAATTTACACTTGTCAGAGGGGTACACAAAGTATGAGATCTAGACTACCAGTTGTTTGACTTTCATTTTGTGGAAGCCTCGGTGGCTGGGTGGGTAACAATAGATCGCTGACTTTGTGTGCTGGCGATTAGGTGCCTCATTCTGGCAGTGTGGGTTTCGAATCCTCGACAGGACTCAACCCCAAAAAGTACGAGAATCTGTACTTTACTAAGAAAGTGTTATCCTAAATATAACATTTGTTACATTATTCAATAGTTTTTAATGTTGGGACTATGACAAGACAGGGCTCGATATACATAAAACATACACTTGTGCAGCCTGATATTGAATAATGCAATCTATTATTTTTTACCACATGAACCCAGTGCATGTAAACATTTTACAAATTTGTGACTCACTAACTAAACAAGATTTCTACACAACATCGATCTAAATCTCAATATACTTTATTTACCATGCTACATTAGTATTCCCAGTGAGTGCCACTGGTATGTGTTATTTGTCGTCAAACTGGGAGCACTTCACAATTATGCATTTAGAGATGAGGTGAAATGGGGTTCAACATCGCGTCCAAGATTACTGCACTTATATAGCAACGTGCATGCATGTGTGTGTGTGTGTACTAGCCCGGGCGTATTACGATTTTATAGTGCTAGCCCACTGAGATACCATGCCACAGATTAACATACACACCCCACTCAGACACAGTAATGATACTGACTCTGAGCCAACCAGTCCTTGTTTTAGCCCCTTAATGCTGAGCACCAGAAAGGGTAACAACAAGTACCATCTTTCAACGTCTTTTGGTATGAGCGGCCGGGTATTGAACCCGGACTTTCCGCTCTTCAGGGAAATGCTCTACCACTAGACCATGGAGGCGGTCTGTACATTTAAAACTGGATGTAAATCAATGATTGAATAGATTTGGGGTTAATGAAAGAAGGAACATTCACAGATTATCCTAAAATGCTCGAATTATTGCACATGCTGAATATAAATTCAGGTCATTCTATTGAAAATGACAAAAAACAAGATGGGATGATTATGTGATTCCATTCAAAGTCCTCAGAGTTCGCAGCTGGTCCTGTTTGAATGAAATTCAATTGCTACTGTTAGAAATGATGGCTAAACAGATCGATAATCTGAATTACCATTGATGGGAAGAAATATTAATGATTATCGATATGAAATTGTTGTGATTGATAATAACTTGCATAAACTATTGTGATGAAAGAAAATTCAGATTTACCAAAACAGACTTGTTATTGTCAATAATGTCAATTGTTGAAGACGGAAAGCAACTGTTTTTATTGTATTTCAAATGTCCAGAAAGTTATCTATGCATAAATCTGTTACTGCTCACCCGTGGAGTGAAATATGTTGATTTCTTTCTGGACTTTCCGATATTAATCAATAATTGATCGATAATCAGTTGGCGATTATCGATCTCTATAATCTATATCGGATTTATTGGATATATATATTTGATTTTTTATCCCCACCTCAGTGTTGTAGTTCCGGGCTAGCAGATTAGGGTTAATTTCGAAGTGTGGACTGCACTAAACTTTCGTATCATTCAGCAATAGGGATAAGCTGGCATCAATTGATGTTGTCTGCATTCAGTAGGTGACAACAGTTACAGGCTGTTTATTGGCATGAACAGGCATCGCTACTCAAGTCCCCGATCACCTGCCATTGTTGTGGCGATCATTGTACATGGCCCAACATGGGGAATTAAGGCCCTGATATGTGTATAGGTGTCATTGAAAGTGCTGAGGTGTTGAGGTAAGCCCTCACCAAATGATACTGGCCTTTGTGGGACCGGGTTATTGAGTGGGGACAACTAGAATCGGTATTGACTTGGGTCTTGTGAAAACATACAAAGACAGTTATTCAACACGTGTGTGTCATGGCAGCTGCTAATTAAAGCGACATGAGGTTCACTTTCCGTGACACTGAATATTACGTGTTGTGACACGGGGGTGGAGCGGTTGACTTCTGTTGCCATATGTGACCTTGGAGCACAAAATGAGCTGTAAATGGGTATGTCGCTGTGTGACAAATTAGCAATAGACCAATTACTTGGAGTTAGTGAGTGAGCTGGGTTGGTGCTGGTTTCACTAATGTTTCTGTTATATCATGCATGTTATCTTCATGTGGTCAGAAAGCCCAAAGTGATGCAGATCTTAGTTACCGTATATCGCTGTGTATAAGGCGAGTTTGTTCGTACCTAGATTTAGGGGGCTTTCAAGGGGGGTCGTCTTATACACGGGGTTGAAGAGTTTTGATGTATTTTTCCCTACCACAAAGACATTGCTGTGAGCACGTAACACCGGAAATACCATGTCAACAAATCTGTCCTGAAGTACATAAAATTAAGCATGTAATTACACTGGATGGTTATAAAAAGTGTTCATTTTATATCTGGACTTTTATTTCAAATTTCATTCAAAATTGTTTACATTAATTTCGGCAAAATCGTATGTTAAATGATCGGAACATCGCACAACTCACCGTTATTTACAGTAACCATGGTCAGATGAAACGAACTTTAGTGGAGAGAGAATGGATATATATCTCATAAATGCCATACATTGACTCGTTGAAGATCATATTTGTTGTAGTTTGACTGTTATATGGCAACAGTTTTCGCTGTCGTGAGAGCAAGAGCATTGACAGTGATTGGTCAAATTGTCCCATACAAAAAAATATAATTAATTTACCATACCTCTACCATTTTGATGATTTTTGCACTAGCCTTCACAAGGTCTGTCAAAGTGTGTATTGAAGATTAATCGAAAACAATACATACAAGCCCCTCACCCTAACCATTTTACTGTCGAAGTGCACCAAATTTGTTTTCCAATGATAATGTTAAAAATTTTGACCTGTAAAACACAAACAAATAAATTTTGTCCCAACAGTGGTGGGGACAGGGAGCGTCATTAGTTTTTTCAATGTGCTCTTGACAGAGCTTCTGATTGTGGGGACAAAATCAGCGTCACACTTTATAGAAGAATATAAGTGGAGTAGGGATTTGTAGCTATGTGACCAAGTTGAATATTAGTGAAGAAGTATACCGGTATATATATATAGCTTTTGTAGCAAACCTCTGTGATACAGGAAGTCATGATCTGAACAGGATGACATGTGGGTCAAGTGGTCGCTGGGGTTACTCACCAGCCAGATAAACTGTTCTCTTAGTAGGAAGATGCTTTAGTCAGGGGTAGAAATTACTAGCTATCCACTGAGGTCTTCCATGTTTTAATAGTTACAAGAAAATTAAGGATCAGCATTAGGTTTTTTCTTCAATCTCATTAAAATCAGAACTTAGTTCTCGCTACCCCTATAAACAAAGATCTGAGGACATCCCATTACAGGTCACGTCAGACCGACCTTGCGCGAACTTTACAGACCAATGGAATGACCAATCAGAAGGCAGCTTTCTCGTGCTTTACGGCACTAATTTCAAATTGGCTACTACGCTTCGAAACATATTTTGACAAATTCTCAATTACATATTTGAAACCTGAACATAAGGACATTCTGGAATGGCTAATAGATGGTGTAGATTGTATGGATTCAGTCGTTAAGCCCGTAACTATCGTTCGGAATATTCCATGTTAGTGTTTTCGAGGTTGTATGATTAGAAATCACATTCCAACTGCCACTTTCATGATCTGGTAAGTGACGTTCTGATTGGTCGGATGAAAGGTCGTTCTGATGTGACCCCTAATGGGATGTCCTCAGATCTTTGTTAAGCGGTAGCGAGAACTAAGGTCTGATTTTAATGATATTGGATTTTTCTCAAAATCGGGCACATTCTGACCATGCACCAGGAAACAGTGTTGTAGTCACTGTAGTTGAGAAACACCCGACACTGGGCACACCTGTCCAACAAGACATGGATTAAATGATATTGTCATAATGATTAATGGTGTGGACTAGTTGGATATAAGATTCTTTGTCTGGACTTGCCAAGAAACAATTTCTCTAAGTAATAGAAAAAAATGCAGATTTAATCTTACACATTGAAATATGAAATCCTTCTCACAAACCAGTATAAAATATCACTATTTATATATCGGTATGGTAATGATTGTGTATGTGCTGACATGTAAAGCATTTTCCAAATTATGACCATGATTACCATTCAAATTGGCAATGGCAACTTTAATGGCAATTGCCTGAAACTAAATACACTCATTTTCTGTTTTCTTCATCTCTTGTAGAAGCGCCCCCTAGGGGACATTGAGAGTAAGCACCGATACCGACCTGCACAGCCTGTGTTATCATGTCGTACCGTGGACGTTGACCTGACTGGCACTCGCACCTACCGTGCCAGGTCCACTACAGACATCATCAGTGAGCAGCATCGCTACATACACAACCTCTACAACAAAGCTCGCAACATTGTGTCAGCACCACCAAGGAGGGCTAAGTCATCATCTCGGTACTCAACAGATGAAAACTATCACAAACTTCAGAAGATTAATAGTAAGGCCTGTTGTTATTGCTGGTGATACATTTATACAACAAGTTGCAAAGTGAATCCTCATTGAATTTATCAGTATGTCGTTCTGCTTGTACATATGATAGGGGGCACATATGGCCTAGTGATCTAAAGGACTTCCATTCCCTTTCTGAGAGTTGCCTCCCTTTGTAGTGCCAGGATCTGCTGATCATGAGTTCAGATCCCTCTTTATGAATCTTACTCATATTTGTGTGTTTCCAAAGCTGTAAACAACTACTACCTGCATCACTTTGTTCTGGGGTCGCTGTGAACATTGTGGTTGTTATGCATAAAGTTGATTAAAACTTAGGGGTATGTTAAAATATATATAAATAGACTTGAACTCGGTCAAGCTGTAGACTGCAGTATTTATGATCCTGGAGAATGATCACAACTGTTTTCCCATGCTGCAGTTGAGGTCAGTGGGAGGCCGGTCAGCTCACTGTCCCAGTCAGCCAAAACACAGTCAAAGAGGAAAACTGTCAAGTCAGCAAAACGTCCAAAGACAACAGGTAAACCCCCTGTCAGTTTTTGATATAGCCAACTCAGATACATAATAGATGACTGTCTACTTTCCTACCAGTGGTAAGTTTCATTGTTTTTATGCGAATGAAATATGTAATCAATTGTCTTCACTTTTACCCTTTTTCATGGAGTTGAACATCTCCAGTACATTTGTTTAAGACTCAGGTACCAAAGTGGGCGTGACCAAAAGTTTAATATTGATATCATTTCACAAACTGTTTATTTTCTCTTCTGTTCAGGTCAATTCAAAAGTGCAAAACCTGCAACTGACTGTTACATGGTAGTGAAAGTAGACCCGGACCTTTTGGAGACAAGCCGCTCACAGCGCGAGATTACGGAGCAGATTCACCAACACTGGCTGCCCGAAAACAACAACCTGAACCAGGGTCGGTTCATCCGCGGACAGAAGAGGGCGGAGTCTGTACCCACCTCTCTGGATGCCTGGCTCACGTTCGGGGGAGCCCCAGGAGATGCTGACAATGGAGTAGTGGACGCCTTTGCTAGTAAGTGGGGGTTGCGTGGATAGGTGCTCAACATATCAATCACTGGATTGTCTGGTCCAGACTTGATTAGTTAAAGACTGCTGTCATATAGCTGAGCAATGCATACAACAACCAATAAAACAAGGTAAGTGGGCATATTTTGATCGGTGCTCATGATATCAGTCACTGTATTCTCTGGTCCAGATTCTATTAATTACAGACTGCCGTCATATTGCTGAGTGCTGCATTAAACAATAAACAAAACAAAGTAAGTGTGAGACTGATGAAGGAGTCCAGCATCGAAGGATATGAGCTGTATTTGGCATTGCAGATGGTATGGATGTACGTTTTTTAAACTGAACTCTGTAGCATGAGGTTTCAACGTAAAAATTGCAAACCTCTAAATTTAAATTTATCTGTATTCTCTCCTCATAACATCAGCTGAACATGACAGACTATTGCCCTGAAAAGATGAGAAAATGTTTGTAGTGTAAGGGAGGTAACCTAATCGCCTATGGTTCCTTGCAGTGCTGTTCAGACATCTGATGGGAATAACAGGGGAGATGTCATGTACAAACAGGACTTCTAATAGTTATGTAATTTATATAAGGTGCAATATTAGTAATCATAACTATTACAGGAAGTTTGTGAATATTGGAAATAAGGCTACCAAGTTAAGAATTTTTGTTTAATCTACATAAACATTATTGTGCTGAATGATGTCAATGATTCCTTTTGTTTTCAAATTTTTTTTAAGTTATTGATGAAATAAGCAGTCTGTAAAGTTATTATTGTTTACATATTTATTTGTAAGAATTGACTTCAATATGTTTAAGCATTTATGAAGTGATTAATGTACAAATCAGTGTTCACACTTTGTGTTAATCTGCTACGCAAATTTATCTGTGATGCATATTTATACAGTATGGAGGTTTTTTATAGGTTTATAGATAAAAAAATGTAATCAATATTGGGAATCAGTTCTTAATTGTGAATGTGAATTGCGAATGCGAATGCATTTGTTCCGTAAAGGGGCCACCGGCCCATTATACAAGGTACATTGGATTAGTCAGTTCACATGTACAGAGAGCGCTGATTATTACATCAGGGAACTGATTCACAAAAGTCAGTTCTTAATTGAAAAAGAAGTTTTATGTTTGCTTCTACTGTAGAAGTTAGCTGGGAGAGTCTGGGACTGCAGAACGATGAAAGTAGTCCTCACAAGAAACACTGTTTTCTCCTTCAGGCTACCGTGGCGAGGATGAATACTACAACATCGATGGCAACATCGGCAGTCGTGTAGCCCAACAACTGCACCGAGGAGACAAAATCCGCATCGGAATCAATGGTGTGGTTCAGTCAAATGACCTGAAGGTTCGGAAGAAGTCGGCATTGGCCAGGGAAGAAGTGATTGAGACTTTGGAGGAAGAGAAAGTAGAAGAGGTGAAAGAGAAGGAAAAAATGGAAGAACGAAAAGATGCTGAAAAGGATGTTAAGGACGAAGAGGAGTTTGACTTCATGGCTGATCTCAACACAGACCTGTAAGTAAACAGTGTCTGTCCTAGTCATCAGAAGTGTGTAGGTGACAGGGTTCCAAACTCCGTTTTGAAGACCTGTCTTTAGCAACCCATGCTTGCCGTAAAAGGCGACTATGCTTTTCGTAAGAGGTGACTAACGGAATCGGGTGGTCAGGCTCGCAGACTTGGTTGATGCATGTCATCGTATCCCAATTGCATGGATCGATGGTCATGATATCCATCACTGGATTGTCTGTTCCAGTCTCTATTGTTTACAGACTGCGGTCCTATAGCTGGAATATTGCTGAGTGCAGTGTTAAACCACAAATAAACAAACAACAAACCATGTATTAAAGTACCAGTGGCATGATTACAATTGTAATGGCCAGTTTCAAGTATCGGTATGTTACCTGTGCCTATAGGGCAGACATGGAAATCTGTTGGTATTTTTTCATAAAAATATCTCGTATGAAACCAATGACAAATGTAATTTCACATTTGTAAATTTGATAAACATGGGAAATGAAATTCAAAAAAGTTTCATTGATCACTCAGTGGTGAGGAAGGGGCAAACTTTTTGATATTACAAGCTGAAAATGGATAAATAGTATTGTACTTGTTGGCACACTTACATTCAAGGCACACCTGAACATGTATGTGACACAGTATGCCCTGTGGCTCCTGCAGGTTGACTGAGGTAAAAAAGTACCATCTTTTAACATCTTTCGGTATGAGGCAGCTGGGGATCGAACCACCGACCTTCCGTGCTCTGGGCACACGCTGTATCCACAAGACCACAGAGGTGGCCCCACTTCAAGATGAAGGGACATAACTCTGTAGAGCCACATATGTATTGATGATAGCTTCTGGCGTAGTAGTCTTGAAAGTGATCATTTATTCATTATCACCCAAAAAAAGGAACAAATCCTGCCCAGTATTTAGTCAACGTTTGTTTGTTGGTTTGGGTTTAAACCTTTCTGGAAAAATGAATGTTTATATGTACTGTTCATAACCAGTGGTCTTTGACCTACAGAATGACCCAGGACTTGGAAGACCTGATGGAGGAGGTGGAGGAGAAGCCACGCCCCATCATCCCGCTCAGCTGGACCGACCAGATCACCAAGGATGGGGTCAGGATCCTCTCCCCTCGCTCACCACCCCTGAAGAGGGAGAGGACGGTTAGTGTACAGACTTTATGAACAGGAGACTTCCAGTTGGGCTTCCGGTTTGCCGGAATGTTTTTATGTTTGTCAGCACCTTACCCATGCTTGTAAGTTCACATAGTGATAAACATCTGAGACCTGCATCACTTTGGGCTTTCCTCCCACATCAAGCTGACATGCTGTGACATAAATGGAATCCTGTTCAAAGCGGTGTTAAACACAATTCACTCACTCATTCCAGTTGTGCTTCAAAAAACATACTTTTTAGAACTTTTGGATAAAGTCAGTATTGCTTGCATGTGACAGAATATTTAGACTAAAATACTTTGTTATAAAAGATTCGCTGACATGGTATTTCCGGTGTTACGTGCTCACTGTAAGTCTTTGTGATGGGGAAAAAACATCAAAACTCTTCAACCATGTGTATAAGACGACCCCGCTTGAAAGCCCCTAATTCCAGGTACAAAAAACTCGCCTTATACACAGTGATATACGGTACCCTGCCTACTCTGTGGTGCCAGTGGTAATAAAGTTTAGAAGCTGTTTCACTACACTGAGTACACTTTGAACACATGATAATATTATGGTTGTATACAACAGAGTAGAAAAGTTCACATCGAAACATATCATTGAGATTCTCGTACAACTCGCCCTCAATCAGTCTACGAGAGAACAATTCAAAATGTTTATATGTTTATCATAATCATGTAAAACTGTGACCTTTTAACTTATCAGGATCTATTTTTCTTCAGAACCTTTGTGAAACACGACCGGTTGTGTTTGAAAAGCTAATTCTCGAAGACTCCCCATCTGGTCGGCCATGGGTGCCGCGAACTGAAGGCTACCAGGTGAAATACCGCCAGCGACCACAGATACATGGCTTGGATACGAAAGAGTCCCGGCTTAGTCGGGTCAAGGTCATTTCCATTGACCCAAGGTCAAAAGAAGAAGATGAGAAGTTGAACAATATATCTGTGGATGAAATCCTGCAGACAGCAGTGGAGAAGAAAGGTTCCGGAGACGACAGGAAGATTTCTGGAGAAAAGGATCGGTCAAAGAGGAGCGAGGGTAAACGTGGTGATGATGGGAACGTCTCTGTGCTCAAACATCCCAACAGTGCTAGCAGGAGTGAGTCAAGGGCCAGTCAGTCTAGTGAGCATGTGAGGAAGAGGGTGTCGGTCCAGTCTCATGCTCCGAGCACTACAGTCAAAGATCTCAGCATTGTCTCCCCTGGTGTCAAACACAAGGCAGGGGACACTCGGACTGGCAAGTCTGCTGGTAAGGCTATGGTTGGCAAGGGACTGATGCGTTCTCCCCTTGGTGGATCTGGACCAAGTATTAAGTCTGGCAACATACAGGGTGAGACTGAGTACATTCAGATCGCGTCCCAGCTGCGTGTTCCTGGTGGTTCCCAGCGTCCTACCATGGCCTACACCCACCAGCCTGGGGCGCATCAGGACAGAATCACAAGTCCAGAGAGGCCATACCTGAATGGTCAGGCTAGTCCCCGTGCTGATCCCGACAGAATGGTTGAGGAGCTGAGTTCTGTTGCTGAAGAGGGCGGGGCAGCTCCAAGTCTTGCCACCCCTGAAACAAAGTCTCCTGTGCCGGCGCTGGAGATCAGTATTCCCACAGCTGATGACATGTCGGACAGAGACTCTATTCTCCCGTCCCCGAATCGTCCAGGCTCATACCACGAGGATGGGGATGACTTGACCGGCAGGCAGAGGAGAGAGGCATCGATGAGAGATGATCAGATTGACCAGATTGCTTCAATGCTTGGTGGAGCACTGATACAACACTGAACAGGGTTTAGCAGATTACGAGGGTCGTCTTGTGGGTAGACTGATGCAACAGTGAACATAGCATGGATGAACTGAGCTCATTGTCCCTATCTTGTAGACATGGAACAGTGCAGCCTGCACAGTGTGCTAACTATAAGTTATTGCTCCTTGACAGATTAATTGTCAGTACTTCATGGGCATGTGACACTATATTCCTCCATCACCCTTGAGTACATTCAGCCTCTTTTTGGTGTAGTAGTGAAATATGTCTATTTTTAGCCAACTTACAAACATCATCTATGAGTACATTCGGCCTTTTTTCGGTGTAGTGAGGACATATGTCTATTTTTAGCCAACTTACAAACATCATCCTTGAGTACATTCGGCCTTTTTTCGGTGTAGTGGTGAAATATGTCTATTTTTAGTTAACTTATAATTTGAGACTGTTTACAACTCACGATCAAATGAGCCCAACTCATGCATGAACTTGTCCGAACCTTGTCATTGCCTGATACTGAAGCAATATGTAGAGCAGACATCCACAAGGCTGTGGCACACATTGCATGAGAAATATTGCCGTTTGAGCAATATTCTGAACGCTCATTGATCTGAGCTGTCGGTGGTTCCCTCTCACTCGAACCAGGTCTTGTTTTATTGGTTAATAATAGCTACTACACTGCAAATCAGCTGTGTGCATTTATGGTGGGTGAAAGTAGTGTATACAAAACCTGTTTTGAGGCTGTGACAGACTTGATTTTTATGAATGTAGAAATCCTCTTTCTACATAGGCATCTATGCACCAAGTATTTGGGAGATGATTTTCCAGTAAGAAAGTTAGAAAAATGGAAATTTCATCTTGCACGTTTACTTTTGTCAATAGTCGACAAGCTAAGACTGAAGTGAGTAATAGAGTGCCTATACCATAAAACAACGACGCGTAGATATACTTGTGGTTATTTGTTTATTATGGTTATTTGTGTATTGGATGGGTGCTAAGCTGATTATTTCTGTGATTCCCTAAATAAGAATGTAGTCCTGATTCTGACAGTGTTCCCATGACTACTCAGGATCTACCCATGACTAACCATAAGGGCACAAATTTAAGGGGCATTGTTCTCAGTTATTCTTTCTGATCATTATAACAACGGTTCCTTTGTTTTCATTATTTGCGAAGAGGCCCATATCAAATTGACATCATGTGAGCGTATTGTTGCAAATAACTGAACATGACGTCATCCATAGTTCATGACGTTGTGACGCTGTTGAAGACCTTACAACAGTAGAGTTACTGAGCTGATTTGTCCACCATGAGTCCACTTGAGGTCAGGAAACCACTTCTTCCACAATTTCTCAGAACAAACACTGGGGGTAGTATATAGAGCAATCTACTCCCAACTTGAAATTATTGTTTATCTGTCTCGCCATGGCTCTGAACATACAAAATTATTTCCCTGGGGTCAGATAGTCTGTAATTCCCTTTGGACAAAGTGCCCCTGTAATATAGATACAGTTGTGTGTCATGTGACACAATAGCTATGTGGGGGCACGGGTGGCCCAGTCGTCTAAGGCGCCGCTATTCGCTGTGCAGAGTTGCATCCCTTGGGCACGCCCGAAACCTATGATTGTGGGTTGGAATCCTGGTTCGCCCCGATTATGTTTCTAGGTTTGTCAGCACCATACCCGTGCTCGTGGGTTTCACTGAAGTGGTAAACGTCTTAGACCTGCATCACTTTGGGCTTTCCTCCCACATTAAGCTGACACGCCACGATATAACTGGAATACTGTTAAAAGCAGCGTTAAACCCAACTCACTCACTCACTCAATAGCTATGTCCTATGGAGCCGTGGTGTCTGAGAGTAGCACCAATGACTGAAGCCTGAGGTTATCCAAAGGCACATCCGTTGTGACCATTCCTGAGATATGATGGCATCAGCAGTAACACAGAAATGTTTCTTGACACACTTGTGTGGCACAATGTTAAGCTAGGGTACAGTCAAGATATAATTCATAATGTATTGAAATGTATCACTACACCATTTGTTTTTGATACATGTTGTTCAGAAGGCCTACAAGTTCTTACTGGTCGTATCGAATGTAGGCCATTCTTCACGCATAGTCATACTGGCAGAAATATTTCACATAAAGTTTGGATAAATTAGAATCATTTGATTACTCTGTGTTTTATCAAAATAAGATCTCCGTGAAGATCTTGGTTAGAATTGGTCTTAAACAAGCTATGCTTGTCAAAAGGGTGACCAATGCTGTCAGGTTGTAAGCCTCTCTGACATGGTTGATGCATGTCAACTGTTCCATATTGTGTAGATCGATGCTCATGATGTTAATCACTGGATTGTTTGGTCCAGACTAGATTATTTACAGACCGCAGCTGGAATATTGCTGAGTGCAGGCATTATACAACAAACAAACATCAAAATAAGAAGATATTTACACAATTTCACATATTTGATACATTTTGTATTTATAAAGCAAAATATTGTGACATGTATCGTTTCATAGCTTTGGGGGGGTTGTCGGGTAGCCTAGTGGTTAAAGCGTTCGCTTGTCCCGCCGAAGACCTGTGTTTGATTCCCGACATGGGTACAGTGTGTGAAGCCCATTTGTGGTGTCCCCCGCTGTGATGTTGCTGGAATATTGTTAAAAGCAGCGTAAAACCATACTCACTCACTCACTCACTCACTCATTGTTTCAGCCGTACTATGAATGAGGCATCCCTCCGTCTGTGTTAAGCACTACAGTCGTCTATTTATGGATGAGGGAAGATCAACTAAGATACATCAAACTGATCTTGCATCCTAACATTGGCTGAGAAAATCTGTTACACTCATATATTTCAAATGAGGTTCATGTAAACTAACTTGTACTGTTTCATAGTATGCTTGAGACAAATGATGGGCATGTGTCACAGTTGCTTGAAAGAAAAGAGAACTATTTTTGTATCAATTATATGTTTATGTAGGAATTTACACTAACATAATTTATGTCATTACTAATATATATATATATATATTTTTATGTGTGTGTATCATTATGAAAACACATAGTTGCATTCTTACAAAGCATCTTTGTCAGTTCTACAGAGGAAAACCTAATTGTACATATTGATATATATTATATTTTCCTTGTTCGTGTCCATTGCAAGATTGTTATGTAAAATATCTATATACTGTCTCAAATGATGTATGCTTGTGTTAATTACCATGTGTTAGCTTCTGCTGTACAATCTATACAAAAACCATGTTGGTTTGTTCCATATACCGTAATTCTTGAAAGTAACGTGAGCGTGGATTAAATGTGAAAAATGTGAGTGGTCTCTGCTTTCATTAACTAAACTTCAAAATGACCATAAACAATAAGACAGCCTCAATGCACACTTTGGATAGTAGATAGGGGTCAGCGGTTGTATTAGTTTGAAGACGCATTAATTTCAAGATCTACGGTATTAGTGACATGTGGTATGTACATAAGTGATGACTGTTCTATACTAGATGCATTGATGATTAATTGTAAATGTGACACAAGCGATGTATGATGTACATGTATTAATTGTGTTACTTAAAGCAACCTATGCTGGTCACAAGGTGACTGAATGTACCGGTTTGTCAGACTCGGTGACTTGGTTGACTTTGTGTGGTTGTTACCCTATGGTGTGGAACATTTTCCCGAGGCAAGTGAGTTAACTGACTCTAAACGTCCAGTTTCCACCCTTGCTGAACTATCCTGGAAATTCTGGGTTCAATTGTAGCGCCACCAGTGGTTATTAGGAGTGCTTCAAACCATATGGCGATGCCCAGTCAAGACGATCAGAACGATGGTCAAGATCTATATTGTATTATAACAGTTCTTCCCTCGCGAAGTGCATCAAATCATGTGAGCTCCTTGATTAAAGACATGAAAAGATTTGGAAAATATCTGTGGACACCCAGTTGATTGTACACATGCTTTGCAAATCCTGCAGTCTGCACATTGAAATCCATGTTGTTTACGAACCAGATGTTGATTTCATTACGCGATTTTGATTGGACTATGCATAGACTCAACAAACGACAAACATAGACAAACGATCGTTTGTCCAGCCAAAATATAAATCCATAATTCCAGTCGAGTTTGGCAAGGGTCGAAACTGGAATTTTTAGTCAGTTAACTCCCTTGCCTCGAGAAGATGAGTCAACCCATATTGAGAGACATACTTTTCTGGGTCCATAGCCCTGATGAAAGCATTTTGTTCTGCCAAATATAGAACACATTTTGATAATAACCTAACAACTGATCTTGTATCTGTTACTATTGTTTTTGTTGAGTTTGAAATTATTCATGAGCAGTATATATGATTGGTTACAGGTACGACTGTATCCAGATATATTTTACTATGTCTAGCTATATATTTATGAAACAAATGTGCTTTCAGTATTGTCTATGCATCCTTGTCTTTCACCAAAGTAAACATCGATGTGTACTGTATGTGTTGTGATGCAGGGTCTCGTTCCCCAAACCGATCTTAGCGCTAAGATGATCGTAACTCCCATACTTTAACATAGGCTTACAATAGTCGTAGTGCTAAGAACGCATTGTGGAACAGGGCCCAGATTTCTATGGACAAAGCCACATGTGACATTCCAGGGCCACACAACAAGCGTGATTACAAATCAAAGTCCGTCCTTTGTTTGGATTTTAATGGTAATAGATTATTTTGCAATAAAACATTCAAAGAATCTTATATCGTTGAGCATTTACTTTTGTTTTCATGATGCTGTAGCATAGCAGTGTTCTTCTGACTTCCATGAAGTGACACTGACAGTCTGTATCCTGTCTCATGGGATGAGTTTACCATGGGGTAGTAGGTTAAAGACAATCTTTGATAAAATAAGAGAGGACCCAACAAGTTGAGTGACGAGGAGGTTGAGTCAGCTTGAGGGGCTTCAACGTAGCTAAGCATTTTAAGCATTCACATGCTGAAGACCCTGGTTTGAGTACTCACGTGGTGAAGACCCTGGTTTGAGGACTCACGTGGTGAAGACCCTGGTTTGAGTCCTCATGCTGAATTCCTTGGTTTGAGTCCTCACGTGCTGAAGACCCGTGAAGATCTTCAGCAACCCATGCTTGCCATAAAAACGACTATGGTTGTCGTAACAGGCGACTAACGGGATCGGGTGGTCAGGCTCGCTGACTTGGTTGATGTCATCGTCTCCCAACTGTGTGGATCGATGCTCATGATGTCAATCACTGGATTGTCTGTTCCAAACTCGATTATTTACAGACCGCTGTCATATAGCTGGAATATTGATGAGTGCGCGTTAAACAACAAACAAATCAACAAACAATGCCCTAATGCAAATCGTTTGAGTCTGCTGCCAATGATTTGGTAGTTACAGTATACGAACTGGCTGGTTACGTGTCATTGTATCCTGGTGTGGATAATTGCTTATGCAGACAGACACATGTTTGGTTTATCATATTCTATTGACATATCTCTAAAATCATAAATGAATGGCTCGCGAGTTCTATTACTCCCTTGGGTGAAGAAGAGATATTTTACAGACGACTCTTCCAATACCGCCCTCTGCTTTTGGAACTTGCTGTTTCATACACTTATTAACCATCACGATTATTATTTTATTTTTTGGCTGTATTTGTTGCTTCAATACGTGTATTTGAAGGTTGGGTTTAAAACGATCCGATAAAATATACCGGACAACCAACGTAATTGGAATATTGAAAATTGCATGTCAATGAATTCAACACTGAGGGGAAATCCCGAATAATCATTCCAATCGTTAAGGTAGCCTAGTGGTTAATGTGGTATCTCTCCACACGTCACACGTTCAAATCCCTAGACGGAACAGCTTGTAAAGCCCACTCCTGCCTTCTCCCATCATGGCGTGACTGCAACGTCCATGAAAGCAGGTTAAAACCCAATACACCCAGAAACCATGGCTATTTACACCAACACCAACTAATTACTTTCTGTGATGGGTTACTCCCAGTATAAGATCCCACAAGGCCCACGGTGGACGTGCCTGGAACAGCCGAGGACTGTGGCATTTAATCAGTGTTCGGTTACACACAGCAAGCGATGATTGTCTCCGTGTAATACAGGTATTGGAAGCTAATGAATCATTGATAAGCACTTACAGAAGGCTGACAAGTCGTATCGGCTTTGTGATAAGGAAGGCAGCAAAACTCCTCCGTTATTTTAAGCTGGCAGGTAGGGTCAAAGTGATATGTTGATCCATTGAAGGGGCATATTATTAAAGTAAGATTTCAGCATTAGAGCAGGCCATGACTCCCAGGGGAGGGACTAGGTGAACTGCCCAGTCTGCTTCCTATCAATAACATAGTTTGTCTAGTGACATGACAGCAAACAGTTGCCTCTATCGCCGTATGTACACCATAGACGTGGCTTGTATTCCGCGTACACGGACCATCTCTCACAATCACATCGGTGTTTGTTGAATAAATAGGTAAGAAGCATTAGTTTGGACACACGAAGGAGTTATATGCCCGTAA